CCACTGTGCTGTGCAGGGAGGCCAGAGATCCCCGCAGCATCCCAGCACACGCAAACTCATCCTCCACTTCCAGTTCTCCTCCTCCGCCTCCATCATTTCTCTCACCGTCCATCCCTTGTTCTTAAATCGGTGTCAAAGAGTTGAACATACTGCAAAAAAAACGACAAAATTATAAACTGCAGGCATTTTGATCAACATTGCAAATATTGCTTTGCGTTATATTTAGATCAATTTGTGTAAATTACTTCATGGAGTTTCAAAATCCTTTACACACAATTTAACTTATAGTAATGATAAAATTCAAAGACAAATTGTCATTTACATGATGATTTATGCTTTAATGAGTTCCTAATGTGAGGATGATCCATTCTCATCACTTAAAAAGCTATAATATGGTGTTCGTTTTAAGTGCAGCTTCAAACATGATCTGAATATAGGAACATCTGTTAACAACATTAACTAAATGTATCAGACTGTGTACTTTAGGAGATAAAATCAACTACGAGTACAAGTAGCACTTGTATTATCTATAAATATCTAGTCGACAAGCTTTTGTAGCATGAATTAAAAGCTCTTCATCTTTGTCTTCTTATTGTAATGACAAAGCATTTATCACGTATCGGAACTCTAATCTTGATTTGATTCGCTTCTTCTTGCAACGACTGAGGCAGCGGAGTATCAAACCCCCTGAAAATATGTGCTTTGTCAATAACAAATATTAACATTCATAAATAACAACCACAGTATATTGTTATAGTTACTATTAATTATCCACGACCATTCTGGTGATTCTGAAGTTAACAACATATTTTCATCATAAATAAAAGTAAATGTTTTTAATTTAAAAGCAACATTTTAAATGTGATGGTAAAATGTCTCTTTCTGTCACAAAGTAAGTGTGAAGTAAGTGCCAGTGATGGGCTCACTGGCAGTTTGAATGGACGATGCTGTGATTTGTGGATGGATACAGTAGCCTACATATTTAGCAGGTATTTAGCCTACTGTACACCGATTTAAGGAGGGACCTCTGTATTCTGTGTGCTCTCTCATTATTCTATTACTATATCATAGTCAACATTCCTCAAATCTACAGGGCTTATTATGCATCCTCTGTGAACAATTCCTCTCTCAATTTTTGTTTTTCTTGTAAAATACTGGATTTTTTTATTTTTTTTAACTCTTTGGGATTCAAACAGGTATTGAGAAAAATGGAAGGGGAAAGAAAAATAAATAAGTAAAATATATTTCTTTTAATTAATTATTTTTTTGCAATATAGATGATTAGATGAACTGAGATTGTTATGATTATTTAATTTACCTGTCAATTTATTGTAATTGTTTTAATGTTTTATATTAATGTAATTATATTGGTGGATGCATTGCTAATGTTATAAATGTAGGCTAATGTAATTCGTTGACCAGCCTATAATTTATTTGAATATGGAACCCTTACTTATCTAAACAGTGCATTGTATTTTACAGGCTTATCACATATTTTCATGTAAAATCTTGAAAACCTGAAAGCAGCAATACTTGTCAAATGAATAGTGGAGTAAAAAGTAAAATGTTTCCCTCTTAAATGTAGCGAAGTAGAAGTATAAAATAGCATAAAATGGAAATATTGCAGTAAAGTAGGCCAACCTTTCCAACACTTTGCACCTGATGCGCATACTTTGGCAAACTCCAACATGTAAACAAGCCTGCAGTGTCTGCCTCTCCGCTTCTAACCCATTATTAATATAACCTACAACTACTTTCTCACATTCACATCACACGCGCTGCTTCTGCAACTCAAATGTAACAATACGTGGTTTCAAGGCGTGTAGAAAGAAACTGCGTGTAAAATAGGGGCCTATTGCCAGATAAACTGAGTATTATGAAACATTTCATCTTGATGTAGCCTTAAACAGACCGATTACTGGACGTGTGTTTCAGCGAAGACAAAGCAGGGAAACAGATAATCCGCCTGACAGCACAGAAAAACAGAACCTTAAAATCAACCAAAGTATAAAAATGATCATCTTTCTGTGTCGTTTTCTTACGTGAGGTCGATCGCCCTGCGCCTTTTCAAAGTTTCGTTTCCAGCAGCCTGCGACAGGGAGGCAGCGCGGCTCGCTTCAGGCTTCCGCAATCATAAAAACAACATGTATCAGCCCAAAGTTCAACACTCGCCGCTGTGTCGCAAAATTATCGACAATCGGCTGCTAACAAAACCGTCCCTGTTGTTGCTGGGGCGGATGAGGAAGTCTGCGCTGCGTAAGGACATCAGATCACCGGTGAAAACCCCACAGACAAAAACGAAACTAAACGAAAAACCACTACACAGCTTAGCTCCCAGAGAAGGGAGGTACTTCTGGCAGTCACGGTGTCGCTGTAATACCCCGATAATATTCTTTTTAATTATAGTCCTACATGCTCAAATGTGCCTGTGGACTCTTTTACCATGTTAAAAACGTATCTACACGTCCTACTGTTCCATTAATAACAGACCTGAGTTAAATTTGCATTTATTAAACATTAATCATTATTATAGCCAATAGAAACCTGACAAAGTGTACGTATAGCGTATCTTTTTGAATAGGCTAGCCTATATTTAAAATTATGTTGACTTGGTGTCAGGGTCAAACAGGAGATGCAGGGGGTTTCCACTGACGTCAGAAGGGTTTTTTCTTTTTTTTGTTAACTCCTCCTCTACACTCACAGATGGGCTTTATAGAGGTGAATGGAGGCTGTTTGTAACACTTGACATTGCTGTCTCCATATCCCCTAGTTCAATAGATAAAGAGTTTTTGTTTTAAAAAATCACTTTTATCTGTTTACAATGTGGTTTCCAAATCTCCATCTCCGCAGGGACAAAATAAGTCTAAAGACAGGAAGAGAAAGGTCACCTCCTACACAACATCCTGTGTTTGTCAGGGTAAAATGTAGCATCTAATGGTATACATTGAATAATAAAATGTAATTTAAAGGATAAGTCATGCAACATTCTGCATTTTTCTTATTGTCAACAAATCCAAAAAACAACAATTGCTTCCTTCTGTTGTCTGTGTGTATCCAAAGTCCGATTATTCCTTGGAGCTCCATTGTTGCACAAAAACTATAAATAACCCCCCACACACATACACACACATCAAGGAGCCACACAGTTATATGAACATGGCCACTTCCGTTTATGTTCCTGCCAGGGTGTATTAATCTGCGACTGAAAAAAGTCCCCAACAACTTCACTGATTATTTCTGTTTGAGTAACATTTCTTCGAAACTACAGTTTCTATCGCCACATATGTCTGTGAAGGTTCTCAGTCATCCAGGTCATAGTTATCCAACGAAGGTTGAGGTCAAGGGCAACTGGACTTTTTTCTACAAAGTCCAGTTGCCCTTGACCTCAACTTTCGTTGGATAACTGTCGCCACATACAAATGTACGTTCGGTTCACAGTAACAAGCAAATATAGATTGCACCAGGCATAAAGAGCAGTTCTTGTTTATTTAAGCTAAACAACTTTGTGTATGTGTAAAAATAGTACTCCACTGATCAAACTCAATGCAGCAGAACAAGACATGTTGTCCTTTGAATTCCAAACATTCTCCTTCCTTGTCAAAACCTGGCACATACATTACCCACAATGCAACTTGACTGCAAACAGTCAGAGATTTGGGTGTGTTACGTTAATAGCCGCTTATTTAGCCTCAAGCTGTTAGCCTCAAGTAGAGATGAGTAGCAGGTTGCAGAGGTCTGGTTAATGCACTTCTTTCTAACTCCACACCACCAGATTTTTGTTTTCATTTTCAAACTTGTAGTCATCAATGCCCAACAAACACTGACTCAAGTGACATCAACTGGGGGTGAGTGATCTCTCTACCGCCCTCTGGAGCTAGGACCACTAAATGTATATTCCAAAAAAACCCCAACAAAATAAAACTCCCTCATAAAAGGCTTTCTGGGACTAGTTTCAGATATGCAGTAGTGCTCAATCAGTGGACTTCCCCTTTAACTTGAATGTGGATTGGTAGCGGTGAAGTCCTGCCTTATCATGTGACTGTGTATAAAAACCACTCTACTCCAGGGACTACGTTAGGTTTCAAGGCACAAGTTTCAACTTTATATGTCACAATATTTGCAATGTAATAATGACTTCTGAGGGTCATGATGACATTCCAGGATTGCATTAGGTAATCCTGGTTTGGTGCTAGTCAATGGTCTAATATAAACCACCCATTTACTATAAGTCATTTTGCAGACTACGCCCTCTGCTGGCAAGTCTTCTCTGGATCCTTTTAGTATAAATTTTGTGATGTGGTTCGTCATCACGGTTGTCATAGTGGCTTTCGTGGTCTAAGGGTGCCTTATAACCACAACTTCCCTTGTTTGAATCCACGTAGGGAAGCTTTGTCGTTGTCTTTCCCTTCTCCCCATATGACACAGTCAGCTTCTTAACTATCAATGACTGATCACAGCAAAACAAGATAATTGGCTGTAAAGTTCTTGAGAGTCCTCATAAACTCTGAATACCTCAGAGTACATCTGAGGTATTTAAAACAACTACTATGACACAAACACTCTCAAGTTCCCCTAAACGGAGGGAGGAGCAGCAAAAGGCCTAGGCTATTAATTTTTTTTCACAAATTAAATCATATCACCAAGCAAAAACAAACACTCAAAAAAAATATAGGCAGCTTAACCTCCGAAATGGAAAATTGTTGAATTAAAAAACAAAATCAAAACCTTGCCTGTTAGCTGAGCAGTCCAGAAGCAGAAGTAAAATAGAGATGTATGGGATGAGCTGTTTCACTTCTGCTTTCGCCTGGTAAGGTGGAACAAGAGCTACTGGCGCGAGTAGAAAGTCACTGAATGAGCAGGAGGATTTTTACACTCGCTTACATCCGTCGGTACGGTTGAATGATGAGGAAGGACAGTAGGCTATATCCCCGACGGTGAGTGGTTTCCCCTTATTGAAAAATCACCTTGATATTGTGTTTTAAGTGTCTGAGGTACCGATTTGAAAGTGAAATGGTCATGTTTTGTAGTGGTTTCTACCTTTTAGCTTTTGTTATCTTTTGATAGTATTATGTTTGTTGTGTTAAACTCATATGCTTTAACTTTTGTAGGTTTAGAACTTTCTATTAGATCTTTCAAACTATAAAGGGGGGAAGTATAGATTATATTTGGGGGGTGGAGGAAATAGCAGGTAGCCTGTAGGCTACCTTTTAATATAATGCAAACAACAACACAAAGTACCAGCGAGTTAAATTAACATATTCTCAATAAAAATCTAACACTATAAGATTCACAGGTAATAAAAACGGCTGGACTGTTGCATTATTAAATTTCACAGGTGTTCCTTTCGTTTTGTCTGCCCCCTGGCCTCTTTAGGTAGCCTAAATAACAATGTGGTTTCCTGTGTGTAGGTGTAGGCCTAGGTGTGACTTGTGTGCTTGTAAAATTCATGTGCCGCCGTGTGAAATATCAAACCATCGCACATTTAACACAAATGGATCTTAGGCAACCTGACGTGACGTTTAGTCCTTTTCTTTGATGAGTTAAAAATTCAGAGAAGACATGAAAGATATTATATTTATCACCCTGGAAAACCCTGCTACCGCTAACAGTATTTGATTTACTTCCTGATTGACCAGACAGAAAGCGTATGACATCTAGGACGGGGAGTTGAGCTGAAGAAAGGGTTTTTAAACTTTCAAGAGAAAAGGCAAAGATTCCCAAAGGTAAGTATTTTCTCACAAAACATGCAACTTGAAGACATTAGAAAAGCATCTGGAAAATGGGCATTTACTTTCACTGTCACTACCTGGTCATTTTATAAACCAAAAGAAATAAGTTTAGTTACAGCTCCGGATAATACACACGTGTCTCGATACAAGGTACATGATCTGATACAAAACCAAAACCGACATAGATACATTTGTATTGATACGGTACTGTGAGATTTTAAAGCTGATCTCTCAATTTCATTTTTGCATTCAGGATTAAAAGTATAGTCTGTATTTAACATGCCTAATGAGTGTACCTAAATCAGTATTTCAGTTCAGTTTTTATTCCAATAACCCAATCACAAAGAAAAGTTAAGTTAACCGTCACAACAACATGTGCAATGATACACTGACAGGGCCATAGCCTGAATTTTATAAATGCTAAAGGTCATAAAGGCTCAAATCATATGTGTAATGAGTGTCGTGAGAATTATCAGTCAACCCTGCTGTTCGCCTCAGCTATATGGAGATTTATAGCGTCTTTAACTTTTGTTTTTTTGGCCCACAACTTTACTGTTTGGGTTCACTCACACTGCTCTTTGTTTTTATTAGTGTATTTCGGGAAAGCAGCAAGAAAACAACACCAAACGTCAGTTAGAGACGGTTAACAACTAGCTGGTGAACATAGCAAAGCATTTGGCAGATAAAGAGACAGATATTTCTGCCAGGGTTAGGGTTACATTGGGCAGTCGGACACAAACATGTCTCCAAATTAATGTTACGCTTTCCATGACTGTTTGATGTGTAAATGAGCCACTGTTTGAAAACAAGCTCACAGTGTCCAATTGAAAGTTGATGCTATATCATGGTTGTAAGGCCTATGTGTTTACAGCTTCATTCCACTGCCCACTAGTGGCAAAAAACAAAACACTAAACTAAACTAAACCCCACATTGCCAGACGGAACACTGAGCAAACAGCAACCCGTTAATACAAACTCTTCGGGTCTGTCAGAGTTTAATTGACGTGAATAATTTCCTCCTCCAGTGAACTATGGCACTGTCCAGCTGTCCAGCTCCAGCATTGATTGCAGACTCCTGCCTGGAGGGCTGGAAGGTGATTGGCTCTGGGGGTTTTGGACAAATCTACAAAGCCAGGCATCGTCAGTGGTGCTGCGATGTGGCCATTAAACTGCTTCATTACGACGACGGGTAAGTGGTTACAAACAGTTTCTGTTTACTGCAATGAAAAGAAGTAATGAATGACTGATAATGCAAACACACACAGGACCAGTAAGTCTTTGCTGCATGAGATCGACATGATGCGTCAAGGAAGCAGCCCGTACGTTATTCAGGTCCTCGGGGTTTTCAAAGGTCGGCTGCCCTCGTCTGTCACGTCAACGCAACTCGGTCTGGTCATGGAGGTCATGGAGAGAGGATCACTGGCCTCCCTACAGGTAACCAGGGGTGGAAGAAGCACTCAGAAGTAGCAATAAAACTCCCTTTTACAAGTAAAAGTCTTGCAGTCAAATATTTACTTAAGTATAAGAACTATGGTATCATTAGCAAAATGTATTTATTAAAAGTACTTGCTGGGTGAGTACATGTAACCCCTTTGTATGCATTTGGAATATTATTACTGGCGCATTGACAGATAAGCGCCATGTTATTATCACAGGGGGAGCATTCTTTTTACTACAGTATACATTGTTGTATTGTATCATACTTTATAAACTGATCATGTGATTTATATGCAAAATCATAATCTGCAAAATAATTGGTAACTACGGACTAAAAAAAGGGGAATTCTCAAAATTGTACTTAGTTAAATGTACTTAGTTACACTCCACAGCAAGTAGCCTACTGTATTTATCCGCCTTCCTGCTTACTTACCTGCCTGCTTTATTCTTTCCTTGCTATTCAATATTTGTGATGTACCCTATTTCTTTTGACCTAATTCTATATTCAAACTTCAACTATACAACTAAAACTACAAAACTATGCAATATAATATTGTGTTATAACACTAGGGACAATGCTTAACTCTGCAATATACTAACAATACGGTTGCTTTATTTCCACGTCTTCTAATGGATCATCAACTGGTGAGGATGCTGACTTTCTTTCCTGGGAACTGCCAGCTTTAGCCGCATTCTTTCAATAACATTACATTACATTACATTACTCTTAACAGGACACCTTAGATGTAGCTATTCCCTGGCCGCTAGTCGTGCGACTGGCTCACCAAGTGGCTTTGGGGATAAACTTCCTCCACAGTATGTCCCCTGCACTGCTCCACCTGGACCTGAAGCCCAGCAACGTGCTGCTGGACTCCTATCTCAATGCCAAGGTGAGTCCAGGGCTTTCAGCCTCATCCTGCTGCATGCTTAAATTATCTTCTTATACTAGTTTGCACTCATTAGCATACAGAATATGGATATATTGGTGTACAGTAGCAGCTCCCCTCAGTCTTTATTGAGACTAAATGGAGGCGGAAAGTTATGCAAGCCTAAAACACAGAGACATGGGTTTCCCCCCTAAATGTTGTAACTTGATAATAAGCAGAAATGATGTTTGATAAAATAGGTAGTGAAAGGGTATTTACTTTTTTACAACAGAGCAAAACTGCAGGCCTTGACAAGTAAGCACGTGGCACACATGATTATCCCATTATGATGAAGCATTAATAAGAGAAGTAAAACTGCTTTTTGCCTAAATAAGACAATCTTGTTCATTATAATAAATTCATTCACATGTGTGCATGAGTTTGTAGGTTCCTATGTGCATACATGAGTTTGCTGTGAGCTGGAAATGTTTTTTTCAATGTCATAGGAAAAGTCAAACATTTCACATTATTTCCAATGAAAAGTTATGATCTTAATTTTTGCAACACCACTTACCACTCTTCTTGATGATGTTTACACTGAGTGACACACCTGAGACTGTTTATGGTTGAACTATTCCACAAAATGGAAGAATCATCCTGTGCTTAATTTCTCACGCCTTTCCTAATAAAAAGACTGAAAAACAAGATTGGCCAGTTGTAATGCCCTTATTGCCACATGCACATTTCCACTCTGCAATAAAATACACATTTGGTGTCTCAACCACAATTTTAAATAAAGTCTTGTGGGATTGAACAATGTTTGTCTGCACAGCGTGATTAACTAGTTACATGTCATTTAGTTACGTAATTTAATTACAAAATAAATGTAACTGTAATCCATTGCAGTTATGAGGAAAACAATTACAGTTACTTATGAAAATGTTCATGGTTACATTGGGGGTTACATCTGAATATTTCTGTGAAAAGCTACGTGTTAAACATCTGCTTTGCATGTTTTTCATGTTCACGATGTCTTCCTTTGGCATTTCCAGCTGTTTAGGAAATTTTGATGATTTTCTGATGCTTTTGATTGGTTTTCATGTTTTCTTGTTCAATTTTCAGCACCACCCGTCTGCCACTTAAGTAGCCTCTCAAGCTGTCTTTTGAAAATGGTTAACAGTTGGAAACAAGTAATTAAAATGTAATTTAATGTTATAAGTTACATTACTTTAACAAAAAGTAATTGAAAAAGTTGCCTTACTATTACATTTTAAATGGGGTAACCTATTACATTACCAATGTAACCTCAATCCTGCTGGTGCCGAATGGTTTAGTGTGGGTCAGAATTTTGGCCATGGTTTTATACTTACAAAGATACAACTAACCATCATTTTCATAATCTATTAATCTGCTGACTGTTTTCTCAATTAATCAGTAAAAAGTTTGGTCAATAAAATCTTTAGTGAAAAATGTCCATCACAGTATGAAAGTATTAAAATGTCTACTATCAGAAAAGACAAAGAAAGCGGCAAATCCTCACATTTGAGTTGATGGACACATTTCCTCTGAATTGGGTCACATGCTTCAGTTTCAGTTCAGTCTTTTGGATGGGTGGGTTTCCTTGGGTGCTCAGGCTCTCTTTCCACACACAACTAAAGCTGACCAGAAACTCTAATTTCCCTGCAATTGTGAATGTAAATGAGTAATTATCTGTAAATCTGTCTCCCCTGTTCGATGGACTGGCTGTTTCCCTGATTTGTGTCCTGTACTGGGATCCCCTCCAGGTGCAACACAGCCCGGACACAGCCAAGGGTTCACAGCCAATAAACAGACATTACACAATCAACCACCTGAATGTGTTAGCTGACAAAAATCGACATTTAACACTGTACTTCTGTGCGCACAATTACCCCCAACAGCATATTTTTATGGTCGCCCTGTGGAAGACTGAAAGATCTTTGTAAAATATTTTTGTTGTCGAAACAAACTGCCATTTTTGTGCCATCATTGACCTTTATCCCCCTCCTTCCTCCTTTCTCTGCGTGTTAATTGTTTTCTCTATTCCCCCTTCTCTCCAGCTTACAGATTTTGGCCTTGCCCGGTTTTACCACAGCGTCACTCGGGCTTCCAAGAAGGACAGCGAAGGGGAAGGGGGGACGATCAGCTATATGCCACCAGAGGCATTTAACCTATCTTACACACCCACCCGAGCCTCTGATGTTTACAGGTATGAGAACACTGAAACAACTCTTGGATAAAAGTGTTTTATGTACTTCCTAGGGAAAACAGGTAGCTGTACTTCCTTTACTTCCTTAAAGCGAAAATACAAATAGGCTGGCAGAACATGTGCAGTGTAGGTCACAGTGTGTCCGTTAAGTCTGTATCTTATCTGCCCTGTAAAGCGCTTCACCACCCTGAGTTTCCTTGATGTAATTATGTTGTGTTTTTGTGCTAAATTGCAAAATGTTCAAAATCCCTACACAGGGTGTCTGTCGGCTCTTAAAAAGTCTTAATGGGTAATAAATACATTTTGAGAAAATTAAGGTCATTAAAAAGTATTAAAGAGTCTTAATCGCCATTAAACAAGGTGTTAAAATTTGAAGATATTTTTTTCAATGTGAAAATCCTGTTTGTCCAAAGGTTTGGTTTGCTAAAAGTGTAGGTGAACGTATTTATTTATAATGCATAGCCAAAAATACTAGACAGGCAGTGAGTATAGTGACTGTGATTCGTTTCTGTAACGTTAGGCGCAGGGATCTACCGAGCGCCTATTTCACTCTTAAACGCTCCAAAAAATAATCCGTGCGAACCGGAAAATGATTTACGAGTAGGCTACAACCGACCGTAATTTCCCACCCCGCCGAACCCACAATGTTAATCGTCCAAAACATAGTCGGAGTAGCGATCAGGAGAAACGGGATTAACCCGGTTGGCCGGTCGCTCTGTGGCCACTTTTAAAAGCCTGAAAAACAAGAACGAGATGCGCCGACAGCAGCGGAATCGGTAAGACAGAAGACAACAGGGAAAATCCAAGGAGCGTGTGGGTTTGGCTAACGTTTGCCGGCTATTTACCTAAATCGGTGCCTTTTATTGAAACACATTCAACTTTTCATAAAGCCGATGCTCTCGTCAGTGTCACTATTTGTGAACAAATCAATGACAGCCTGGATGGAGAGGGATTTAAAAAAAAGCTTGATGTGCTGCAACAAACTTGAAAAATGTTGAACTCAGTGTTCTGCATAAACAGTTATGATTATTGACGAGTTAGTAGCCTGCCCAAAATCAAGGTTGGAGACTATCATGTAGCCTAGAGCATTTTTCTTGCACAAAGTTAATGAATAAAAACCAACCCCAAACTGAAACAGCTGTAATTTGAATTAACATTATACTAGTGGTAAGGTATACTATTATATGAAATTATATTGAATTTAGTGACATAATGAATATATTAATACCAAACTTACAGATTACTATTAAATTAACAATATACTTTCAATTTAATGTTATACTAATACAGTCATTAAGACTAGTTCCTCCTCCAGGTTGTGCCTGTGCTACACCGCCAACACTACTTACGTTATCACTCAGTTTATTCTCTTCATCTTTGTTCCCTCCTGGCCTTTTTGAATTTTGTTGTATTGATCCAGTGGATGCTAAAAGATATCACACATATTATCTAGTTTAAACCAGCTAAAACACAAAATCACACTGTGTTTCACATGATTTGCTGTAATATTGCGTTCATAAATGTCATAGCTTATGTAAGGCAGTTGCTTTTCACAGGAAATCTGACCAGTCTGATCAACTGTTGGCCCATACAGGCTGTTATAGGCAACTGAGAAAGTTGTTGGATGCCTCAATATTTAGGTGGCGTTACAACCTGATGACATATAGGCAATAAATATGTTATAAATATACTTAAATTTGTTTTAAAACCTCAAAAATGTCCCTCTTAAAGGTGTGTGGCTGATTTAATTGGTTACAGCTCAAAGTGGTGCGGCAGTCTTAAAATATGTTGAAAAAGTCTTGAAAAGGTCTTAAAAAGGTATTGAATTTCACAGATTGTTCATAAAGTGAAGAAACATAAATAAAAGTTGTTTTCCTGCGCAAAATGTGTGTGACTTTATTTAAAGCAAACAATGATGTGTTATAAGGTCTTATAATTAGTTCATATGGTATTATGTCCACCTGTAATATATTATACAGGGATAGATATTTTAACACTTTACTTAAAGCAAACAAAGACATGCTATATAACTTTAAACATTACTATAACCTATTATTCCATTTTATATCACTAATTGTAAATGGTGACTAGTACACTAGTAAGTGTATTTATAACGAGGCAGAGTCGGTGGTTATAATGTGTTATGGAACATGGTCGGAGATTCTTGCCGCACATTGATATAAACTGGTATTAATATAGTTATAAAACATTAAATCAAAAGGTCATAATACGTTATGAACTTTGCTATAGCGCCTAATGAATGTTTGTAAGTGATTATAACAACTGTTAATATTTGACAACAACAAACGCAAGATATACAAGATATACAAGATATATATTATTAGCAATCCTGGCATGTAACTCTTTCTGTCTCCCTTTCAGTTATGGTATACTCTTATGGTCCATAGTCACAGGGAAACAACCATATGCAAGTAAGTATTATGACTATTTTGTCTTTTTGTTCCCTTCCTTTTTGTCTTTTCACACCTTGCCTTTCTTGGCCTCACTCTCTCACTATCTTTGCCCTTGTCGTTTTTATTTGAGTAACAGTCTTGTTGTCTTGTTTTGTAAATTTAAGGTACTGGTGTATTTTCCTAAACAACTATAACAGCAAAATCTTGCTTTTACATGCACAAGTCATAGAAATCTAATGATATAATATATAATAATATCACAGTCACAGAACCCTTTTTTCTACTTGGAGTACTTTTACTTTTAACACTTTAAGGACTGGGTGGGGAATAAACAAAATAATAGTCCTCTTACCTTAAAGTGACTAGTTAGAGGATTTTAAAAGTACCATAGAAAAATGAGACAATGCCAGTAAAAAGTGGTGCACCCTATGTGTTTCTTCCAGCCCATTAATTTGAGGGAGAGGAGGGTGGGCACCTAGTGATAATATTAAATTCTACACAGCCACACAGTAATTAATAAATAAGTAAATTAATAAAGTAAATAACATTATCACCTTATAAAGTTTGTATGTCTTCTTCTAAATGCTTCACAATGTTTGCTAGCTAGTTGGTAACTTTGTCTGTCTGCTGTTTGGTGCTGGGCAGGTAGGGGTTTATCAAAGCTTTTTTGCTAAAAACAACTGCCCGCTGCTTGAAATGGTGTTGATTAGGCAGTGAGTCTGCAATGAGACGGGGTGTAAAATAGCAACTGGTGAATGATGATTTAGAGCTGAGATGAACTGCAGAGTTGGTTGAACATGGTCTGTGGATTGACACCACACACACACACACACACACACACACACACACACACACACACAGCATTTGTGTCTAGAAGGGAACCTTGTATTGGCAAATATGTGTGCCTTCCTCATATTGCACAGTTTAACAACAATGGCAAACCTACTTAAAACTCCTAAAATAAGTTTCTTGTGACCTGTCCCTGAAATGATAACATCCACTCCAAAAAAATCTAATTTGGGAGCTTTGCGACCCTCTCCTCCTGTTCTTTTATCTCCTGTCTTTTCTTGAAACAATTTTTATGTAGGAATGGCATGACTGCTAGCTTGCAGGTGTGTTCTGCTAGTCTGCTTGTCAGATTTTTGTTTCACCTAGCAGTTGTCTTGTCACGTGATCAAATAGAAACTTAATATTGGCATACAGTATAGGCTACATACATTACCCAGCAATCATCATTGCATAATGTAGGCTATGTGACACGAATACAAAAGAAAATACGACAAAATTCATTCTGTTGAATCTGTGGACTATATATTTTTTATAGGCTTCTTTACTTCCTACCATAGACTGTATATAAGAAGTGTATGTTGTCATCATGATGTCAACTAGCTAGCTTGCTTAGCTAAGTGCATCTGTTTTCATTTTAACAGGGCTGACAATTTTGTCTAGCGAACAAGAGTCTTAAAACTTAATGTACTCACCAGGGAAAGTGAACAGCCAACTCCTAATAAGCTTTTTCAATGGCGCTGGTTAAATTTACACAGTGCCGTGGTTACGCGTCACTCTAGCCCAGTGGTTCTTAATCTGGGGGTCGGGATCCCCCTGGGGGTCAGGGGCATCGCGAAAATGCTACACAGACACAAAAATAGAAAAAAAAAACAACTTAAAAATAACTAGACGGACTATAGTTGTGAATGGAATCACTTTGGGTGTAAATATTTAATGTTTAATCCATTAGGTGGCTGTAATGCCAACCGCTAACGTCAAAGAAGAATCAGGCCCTGATCAGACAGAAAGCGCTTTGCAGGTTCGAAAACGCGAGACGCACAGCAATGCCTTTTTTTGGTTAAATTTAGAAAATAGCAAAGCGCTGCGGTTTTTATCATGTTGCTAGGCAACCACTGAATCAGCTGTAATCAAAGATTATATGATATATAGATTATAGCGCCAGCGATCTGTAACTTTTGGTTTGCTGCTAAGTAATAACGGTCATATCAGAAACATCTCACAGGTCTGTGTCTTTTGTTGCTAAAAGCATCTGCTTTAAAAAAAATAGACAAATGGAGGGTGCCTGCTCTGGCATTGTTTGAGGGTGAGAGGTGTACAAACACGCTGGAGACAGGGAAAGAGAGATCTATGTGGGCACATGAGACCCTCAGAAAGAGGAGACACCGCTGGTAGTAGCCTACCAGTTGGTCCAGGGGCTTCTTCTTAATGATGGTCGGTTTAAGGCTTATTTTTGGGATGAGTCAGGGACAGTTTGTTGACTCTCCGGACAATCCAAGTAACTGTACACTTCCGTCAGCACAACTGAGGACCCATCTCTCCCTTGTGAAATATTTTCAACCTCAAAAAGGGGTCGGACTGCCAGAAAGGTTAAGAACCCCTGCTCTAGCCTGATTGACAGGTTGCCATGGTAATGACTAAAATAATCTACTAAACGAACATCATGTTGTATTGAAGAAGACTTGAAACTAGCGATTGAGACCATAAACTTATTAAGAAAATGTTTACTGAGGTAATAAATCAGGTGAGAAGTAGGGTCATTTTACTATTATTTCTAATGGAACCGGACTTCTTTTAGCAATCAGAAGATCGCCCCCTGCTGGCCGTTCAACAGAATACAGGGTTAAGGGACCTCCGCATTGGATTCATGTCTCAGACCGGAAGCTTCCCACTTGCTTGCTACAGACTTTTTTGAGGGTAAAACTACTGACTGACACCACGGCAAAGGTGGATGTGCACATTTGAGGGTATATATACCACTTGATCTCGTTGAAACCATCATTGTTTTAAGTCACATGGGAACCTTGATGATCTGTAAAATACTTTTACCATGTAACTGTTTAGAGCCTGTAACCTGACGTGCCCCCTCCCGTCACGGGCCTCTGTATACGATGGGCCCCTGTGTGGCTGCACTGTCTGCACTGTCTACGCCCCTGGTCCGGACCTTTTATTTATTTATTTGTGGGTTCATTTTTAACAGGACACAGTCACAGACTAGCTGTCTAACCTCAGGGCCACTCTGATGCCTCTTTTTATCCTTCCTCCACTGTAGATGCGATGTCCAGTATAGTGCGGTTTCGCATCCCACAGGGAGACCGTCCATCGCTGGATGAGATCAGGGGCCAGTGTGCGGGAAGAACTGGGTTAATAGGACTGATGGAGCTCATGGAAAAATGCTGGGAAGACAAACCCGACCAAAGGCCTTCCTCCCTTGGTGAGAAAACGCCTTCATTTACCATTAAAATCACCATGCTGGAGCTTGAGGAGTGGATAAACCTAGATTAGAATACCTTGATAATAATGGGCTGATGCTAAATCTTAGCCTGATAATCAGACTGATTATACCATTTTGTTTCACAGTTTTAACATGAGTGTCACTATTTGAATCTCTGAACAAATCAGATAACTGGATGGCAATTCAGAGGTCTGAAACCAGTCTAGCTAAAACTCTGGATTGAAACATAAAGTTTTACGTTTTAATAATTTGCCCAAATGTGACATCTTTACTATATGTTGTTCGCAGAGTGTACAACTGTGACAGAAGAACTGTATAAGATGCACAAACATGCAATTGTTGATGCTGTCCATCAAGTGCTTAAGAGATTGGTAAGGAACAAATCTGAGTCATGATGAGATTGTGTAAAAATTTGACATGATGCAGCATTACTATTTTTATAATTTTAAGTTACTGCCCGACTCTCTCTTTCTCTTCCTCTTTCCAGGACCAAAAGGAAGAAGAAAGAATAAGAGAGCAGGTTGAGACAATTAATTTCAATCAGGCTTCAGGTCTGTTTTTATATTTACTTTTCCTCCTCTATTTTTATATTATATTTTTATATTTCTTCAGCATGCTTATTTGCTCTCATGCCAGAAAGTGCAAGAAAGTTAAATAAAATAATAGATACCACATCTATACGCTAACTCTGAGGCTACAGCCAGCAGCCAGTAAACTTAGCAGAAAAACTGGAAATAGGTCAAACAACTGGGAGCATTATTTGGAGGAGCCAGGTTAGCTGTTGCTCTTGCTTTTACTCCCTTACTGTGAGTATTTATGCTAGCTAAGCTAACCATGAATAATATAAGAAATTAATCACTTTCTTGTTAGATGAGATGATCAATACCACTCCCATAGCCATTTGTTCAATATGAAGCTGCAACCAGTCCGGCACACACTTGTTGTAGCTTTGCATAAAGACTGGGAAAATAGAGAGTGATGTCAGTCTTTCCGCCTACCTCTTGGCGATAAAGCAAATACACATTTTTCCCAAAAAATCAAACTATTTCTTTGACTCTTTTTGAGTTGTGTGTGATATTTTGAGTTTGCAGCCTAATGTATTTTGTGCTAAACTGAGGAAAATGGGACCAAAGCACTTGCAGTCTTCACGACTAACAAGAATTTGACTAAGTTTGATTGTGCCAGTAGGCAAGGCAAGGCAAATTTATTTATATAGCACCTTCCATACACTACAGTTAATCAAAGTGCTTTACAGACACAAAGATACAAAAATAGATACAAAGGTACTTTATAATATAAAGCTAGATAATTAATGAGCAATAGATAATAAAATCAAGATTAAAACCATAAAAATCTTATCTGTCAAAGTGCATTACATATAGCCAGAAGAGAAATTGCTTTGTTGCTGTAAATGTAAACTTACTGCACTAGTTTTCACTTTGACATTTTTTTTGCAGTGAATACCAAAGTTGGAGTAACAGATGTTTGTGACAACGTGCCGACAGGGCGCCCCCCAGTTCAGGTGAGGTACAGACAAAATTGAGACTGTTGCTGCATCCTGCCAAGACTCTAATAAAGAAACATTTCCTTCTTGTCTTTAACACTCAGGAAACACTAACTTCATAATTCAGTCTCTTTCTAGCACAGCTCTGATGAAATTGTTCTACTTTTAACCCAATGAACTGACAGTGTGGTCTTTTTTTTTTTTTTCTTTGACTCAAATTGGTCAATACTGTGGTGTTTCTGCACTGCACATGCTTTTCTACCGATGTGGGGAAATATTACATGCATCACAGGAATTTTCACAAGACGCAGTAAAGGCAAAAATCTAGATGAAGTGCATAAAGTTTGGATCAAGGTTGGGCATGCAGTGATAGAATGTAACATGATTATAATCACGTTTATGAGTTACATGACATTTATTGATCCAGACATTTTTATTTTAAATAACATTCTCATATAGAAAAAAATTACAAAATTCACTGTTCAGTCTTTTGTGTATACTTACTCAGACAGTTTACACCTCCATTTACGTGAATTTAATAACTCCCAGAGCCCTCACACATAGTTCAACATTTGGAAAATTTCCACTTTCTTGCTGAGAGTTAGATGAGAAGATTGATACCACTCATATCGCTGAATATGTAGCTGGAGCCATCAGCCAGTTATCTTAGCTTAGCATAAAGGCTGGGGAAAAAATAGGGGGGAGGAGGGGGTCTGGTCTACCAGAACCTCTAAACGAATCCCTTATTAAATCCATGCAACAACCAAAGTGTAAAAACAACAATTTATAGTTTTACAGGAGATTGTTTTCTCACAACTAGTTGTTGAGCTTTGGAGGTTTTGCCAGACCAATTTTGTTACCTTCGGACACATCTAGACTTGCTGCTTCCCCCTTCTTATCTTATTCTCAGCTAGACAGTGTATTTCCCGTATTAGAAAGGGTTTCCCAAAATGTCTTGTGAATCATTGCTATCAACCATTTTTTGGTTTCTCCTTTTTTACCTCTGTGTTTTCTATTCTTCTTTCACAAGCAAAACAGTACAGGCTGACAAAACAAAAGCAAATTAAAACTAGTGATAGTGATTTTTTAATCAGACATATGTTTAAACTTCTACTTATAATTATTATAATTATAAAGTTTGAAACGATTTCAAGTGATGTGAAAATGGTAAGCTAGTTTGTTTCTTTTGTCTTCTACGTAAAATGTGTGTACAAACCGGCATTTAGCTGTTGTCTTTATGTTGTTTTACAGTGCAAGTTTTACTTCCTTTTGTTGCAGGAAATGGCTGATGGTTGGACTGAAAATCAAAGAGACAAATCAAGAGTCAAAGGTACAAAGGAAGTAGTTGTTTAAGCTGCATAAAAACCACTAAAGTAGAAGGGATATGCCAAATCAGACAAATCGATCAATCATTTACATCTATCATGGCTTAGTATTTTCAGATAAATGTCTTCCCTTTCAGATTCGCCTTCACCTCAACCAGCTAGTATGTCTTATGTTGGCTCGAGGCGCTCACCAACAGACCATGAAGTGAAAGTGTCCTCTGTTCACCCCATTCAATCCTCACAATCTTCAAGGTTACCTGCAGAAAGAACAACAAAACCTTCTCAGCCAGACTTAAAGAAAATCCTGTTTCCACCGTACCAAGTGGGTTTTTTTACTTTTCATCAGCACAATGAGAGAGATCTAGACCTCCAAATAGCCTACTGCATACATAAATAAAGTATATTTCCTAATCTAAATGGTATATATTTTATATTAAAGGTAGGTTTTTTTCCCATCAAAATATTTACAGCATATTTACTATATTGTTTTCCCCAGAATGGAATTCATTGTCATTAAAAAATATATTGCTGCTCTCTCTCTTATTGTTGTATCCGCAGCGTCAGTTTTCCAGCCCAGAGACTTCCACCTGCCATCTTCCGCCTGCTGCAGGTGGAGTCAACATCCACCTTAGCAATGTGGTTGGATTTCAGCATGGCAACAACAACAACATGCATCTCTACACCACAGACCCCTTGGACAGGAAACGGCACCCAACAGCACCACCTAGTGTCAACCTCCTGCTTCCACATTCAGGAAGCAGCAAGGACAAGAAGGGAGGAGTTGGCTAAGTTCTCATTGTTTTCTCATTGAGAGAAGCTCTTTGTATGAAGGTGTAACTGCATTAAAAAAAATAATTTTTGTTTTTTTAAATGCAGTTACAAATCTGTCAAATCTGGACAGGATTCAGATATTGGTTAAGCAGCATGCAGGTGTTTAAAATCATGTATTGGTATTTTTTTAACAATATTTATTTTGCTTCTTTTGTTGGAAAATTTTAAGCCAATGAGCTTCTCCTCACACCACCCCTTTTGCCCTGTCAGCAGTTTAAATATGTGCCATGTCTGGTCATATGGTTCACCAACTGTGGTCAACAAATATACACAGTTGTAGTGCCAGCTCGCCATCAGGTGCCAGAAATCGCCTTTACAGCAGATTATTAATCAAAACAGCTTGATGTATGTCTTATTTATGTCTTTATAGTTTTTATATATATTATGTTGTATAGTCTTAATACCAGGTACACATGAAGTGTCAGAAATTTAGTAAGTCCTTAATACTTTAAGCATTTTTCTAATACTGGAATCTATACCCCCTTCGGTATATCTTTTCAAAGTCAAAATTTGCAGGTATTATTTTTGATCATGACTGGCTACATTCTCTTGCACAGAAATATTGAATTAAATTGAATCATCAAAATATACTGTGTATATACTTGTTTTTGGAAAGTACAAATATTTATTTTTTGTGCTTACTGCATTTATTTGGCTAGCTATGCGTACTTTTGTGGGTACATCTTTACAAACTCATTAAGTGCAGCCAAAAAAGTGTTTAAAGTGCCCCAAAGAACTTCCTTATACATTTGATATGTTTTTAAAGGATCTTTGAAATGTACATTTGTTTTTAGTGTTTTTTCTAAAAATGTCAAACACATGTTTTTTAACATGTGTGTGTGTTTGCAATTGTGCACAAGAGATCCAGAGTTTTGCAGTTGATGTAATGGTGCTACCATAAAATTTTGGCATCTTGAATACTTCACTTAGTACAAGACTGGTGTAGCTTCAATGAAGTGTTGGAACGAACGTGTATGCAATATTCATGTCGTACTGTTTTGCATTATGCGAAAAGAATGGCTTTATCTTAATGGATAAGTCTGGTGTTATTCTATGTTTTTGTTATTGTCAACAAATCCCACAAAAAGACCAACAACCATGTACTTTCTGACTTCCCTACCCTCTCTTTTTTTAAGGCTCAGGCATTTCCTAACACTGCTGGACACAATTTTTAGCAAATGTTACTCAAACAGGACTAAATGTTAAACTAATATGTGGGATAAACACAAAGTAAACTACAGAGGACAACAATGGAGCTCAGTGCAGAGGAAGAAGATAAATTAGATACACAATCACACTTGTTAGTAGAATCAATTTATTGTTGTTTTGGTCTTTAAAATGATTTGTTGACTATAAGAAATATAAAAGCATCTCCAATACTTATCCTTAATTCCGAAGGTACTTAAGTGGAAATTTACAGAAAGGGTAACATTAAGAACATTTATTGTATTAGTTAAAAAGTACAATTTACTAAGCTTCAGAATTCTTAATAAATTCAATGTTTGTACTCAAATGTTGTTGGCGTTATGTTGCATTTTTGTTATGTTTTGTGGTCCAGTTTTAAATTCCCAAAGTCATGTTTCATTTGGGCGGTAGCAGCTCAGTCTGTAGGGCCTTGGCTTGAAAACGTTCTGGGTACAATAGAGGTTCCCCAGAGTATTAATATAGGCATCTATAGGTTTGTATTTATAAGTTAAGATATACTTTATTGTCAATATACAATAGGCAATGACTTTTTTGTCCTTTTCCATATGAGTACTAATAACATATACATACCGTCCCCCACACATATGTATTTCATCACAGAGGTCAGGTCGTAGGATTGCCTGCAGTGCAGCATTTCGGAGTTCTGTGCCTTGGTCAAGGATATGCAGGCAGACATATTGGGCACTGTAGATGTGATGCCAGCCAACTCACAGCTTGAATACCTTCCTGTCAGTGGATCAAATCAACTATTTCGGTTACTGTGTGGCCTCTTTTAGCTCTAGATCATCCTTCCTCCCTTTATGTGTGTCTTTCCACCATCTTTTCACATTAACATTTACATGTCTGTAGGTTTGTGAGCATGTGTGTGTGTATGAAAAAATAAAAGAGTGAAAACACTTACTTCCCAAAGGGGACAAATAGAAATGCTTATAATTATTTCAAAGATAAACCTTACATTTTATAAAATGAAATATAAGATCCATCTTAATAACTTTAGAATAGTCCCTAAAATCCTTTTAAAAAATGTATGTTTAGTGCTATGTGGTGCTTGTGCTCTGCCATGTGTGTGTGCCAGTTTGGGTGGAAACTTTCCTTGGGTTTTCTGTTAATGAACTGTAGGTGGCACTCCCGTTTTTCTTTTCAGCTGGAAACTTGCTCCCACAAGAAAACACAGCTGTTTTTTAGGAAAACTAGTTAATGTATAGTTTTAATTAAAAAAACAAAACAAATGTCTCATATTTATAACTTTACATACACTGTTGACAAAAAATGCTTTCATTTTTGTTAAGTATTTTCTGTATGACGTTCCTGTGTGGCTGTGTATGTTTGTCAGTATTGCAATGGATATGTGGTTTTCTGTTTGAGGAGCTGGTTGCAGTGGTCCCAGTGCTCCACAGGAGATAAAAGCTCCACGTTCAAGATGATGTCTCTCTCTCATCCTCCCTGCCAGCGGTTACACCTTTTGGTTTTTGTTATATGTTTGCTATATTTGGGCACTGTAACACTTTACACCATGATCACCCATCCACACTTACATTACTGATGCTGCCATCCCATAATTTAAGCGTTATTTTGGTCTTACATTACAATAAAACCTTGTTAATTGAAGTGCTGTGTCTTTCCCCACTTTTTGCCATGGTCTAGTCATGACATCTGTGATAAGCTTGGCGTTGATCTAATTTTGCAACCAAAGTTTTCATTGTTTTGTACCCCAGACACAAATCTCCAAAGTGCTAACACAGGCCTCTACTGTGCACCAGCGTGTTGAGACTAATCGGTTGTGATGGTCCAGTGTGAACTCAGCAGGCTTCTGGCACCGGATGCCTCCCTTCACTGCAAATCCTCCATCTGCCACCGGATGCACTGCAGAGAGACACACTGTCGCTGTGTGTCACCAGGATGACAAATTTACACAAGGACGTGGGAAAATGTGTATAGTTAAAGGTTTTTACAATAAAGCAGCAATTTTGATGCTTAACTTATATTTTCACTTGAAGCTGGTAGAGCACTGTATGTGAGAAAAACATGTGAAATGGAGTGTGAGGATGTTTTTGGTAAACATTTCGTAGTGTAAGCCTTAATGCAGCTCTTGGGGCACACAGCAGGGCTACACATTATTTTCAGAACAACCGTCTGTCTGCATCAAGTGATCTCTAGAGTGCATGTGAAGTGAGGGTGGAGAACAGTTTGGAGGCCATACAGTTAACAGTATCAGCATTTACCAAGGTGGTACCAATGTGGTAAGTTGTCCTCTGACAAGGACAGATAGACACACTAGGTTAATGAACTGTAACAGTAAATGTTAAAATTTATAAAACGTCAAAAAAAAATCTAATGGAAAATAGTAAAATATATATAAATAATACTGCAAGTTGCACAATTTGAATCTAATTTCATACTCCTTCTTGGAGTCATAAATCAGTAAAACCTTAACACACAGACACGATACACGGTTTTGGGTTCAGTGTCACTTACACTTCCAAGTCCATTTCGAATAAATGTTCATAAATCTTGAAGTCAGAGAAATCATGACACACTTTAAACTGCAGATTTTGCCTGAGAATTCTCAGAAATTTTCTTCAGTATCAAAGTAATCCAGTAATAGTTGTAGATTCATGGGTACACTGCAAACAGGAACTGCTAATAGCTGATTTGGCGTACTTTTAATGGTGCCAATTTGTCAAAATGTTAACATATATAGCCCACAGATAAGTAACCTTGGCAGCACTGTACTTCTAGTGAATAACACAATCATTTTCTTTATTGCCACAAAGATTTGCAACTCTGTATTGCATGCATTAAAGGACAATCACAGACCTGACAGACTGACATCTGGTGTAAGCAAGCATGGACGACACATTACAGTGGTCAGACAAAAGTGAGCCATAAAAGTGATTACATTCAGGATTATTTGGTGCAGAGTGAATTCACCAATTCATGTGATACTTATGAAGATGCATCAAAGCCATTTGATGCATCTTCAGCATGGAATTCAATGTGTATCTATGGATCCTTCCTCGTTTCTGTCAAATAACACCCCAAAACTATTTAATTTTATACCCTGATCACCCCTCCATGCCATTGACTATGACAAGAACATGATCTCCCATCATCCCTAAACCTAATTTACAAGGGGAACACAAGAAACCCGGAGAAGGTGGAGTACTTCCACCCTCCCATCAGGTTCCCCCTCTCCAGTTTCAGGTAAGCCTTGTCTCCTCTTTCCATCATCACTAGCCCGGCATTGGTGGCAGCTTCCCTGGTCACGTCCTGATCACCTGCAAAAGCTGAAATCACGGGCCAGCCGTTGAGAACCAAACTCACCTGGGAAAGATGGGTGAGAAGATAGAGCAGGTGAAAAGGAAGAAAAGGGTAGAGTGAGTGAAGGTGATGTTGTAATAGACATTTGCAGGAAAATAGTGTTGAATTTTATAATAACGTATTTTTCCCAGGATGCATTTAACTTTAAATGGTAAATGATCTGTATTTGTAGAGCCTTTCCAACCACTCAAAGTACTTATATTAAATCACATTCACTCCATATTCACCCGCTGATGAGTGGAAAATAACGCGCCAACTGCTCATCAGAAACAGAAATGAACTCATTCCTTCACACACCAATGGTTACGTCACCAGGAGCATTTTGGGGTTCAGTGTCTTGCCCAAGGACACTTTGACATGCAGATTTTGCTCGCTGGCTAGAGTAATTTCTTAACCCATAGTAAATAATTGGAACAATCAACAATGATAATTAAATGTTAATAGGTTTGAGCAGCTGTCCTAACCGCTTTGTGAGTGAGCAAGCAATAAACATTTGTCAGCACTTTGACATTTTGGGAAATACATTAATAGCTTTCTGGTGGAGGGTTACATTAGAAGATTGCTTTCACTGTCATGTCTGGCCGGTAGACATTAAGCTAGCTTAGCACAAACACTGAAAAAAGGGAAACAGCTAGCTTCGCTCTCTCCAAAGATAAACAAATCTGCCTCCCAGCAACACTAAACCTCACGAATTAACACATTATACCTTGTTATCTTGTTTAGTGGCCGTGACCAGTAACTTTCTGGATTCTTCGCTGGTTGCTTTGCAAGACTATGAAATATCTGTTTTTTTTAAAAGGATCAAATAACTTAAATATGTTAATTAGAGGAGGCGGGAGATGGGTTGTTTTACTTTTGTTTGAAGCCAGGCTAGCTGTTGTCTACAGTCTTTATGCTATGCTAAGCTAGCCAATTGTAGCATAATATTAAGCCAAATGTCAAGCAATTCCTTTGAAACCAAACTTTCTTCTAAGCATATTTCCCAAAATGTCGAACTATTATTTAAATGTTAAATTGTTGTACGTACTTGTATTGTCTGCCGGTTGTAAACTTTGACAACATGAAAGCTGAAACTGTAGACTCCTTTTCTAGGGGCTACGAAGACACTCCTCGCTGGATCAAAATGGCTGCCAACGTTTACAAGGATCTAAGAAGAAAAGGACATGAAGAGAGAGAATAAATAGCTACTACTAGTGTATTAATTCTTGACATTTTTTGTAAAATCTGTAATTTTGGGATGGTTTTTTTGTTGTTGTCACAATTGTGTTTATTTATAAAGGTTTATAGTATTAAAAAAAAAGCACTAAATTCTTGCCTGCTTTTTTAAAAGGAATATTGAATGGATATTTAGATCAGGTTGTTAAAGGATATTAATGTGTGTTTGGCCTTACATAATATAAGATACACGACTAATCATTATTTGGATTGTGTTATTTGAGTTCTTTCACACCTCCTATAAATTGTATTCATTGTTTAGCATCACCACTCAGAATTGCAATTGTATAATACTGTACGTTCCTGCCTACACAAACTATAATTAAGAATACATGCGTAGCCCAGTGTGAACTGATTTATAGCTTCCAGGATGTGACTAAAGTGCTCACACTGTGGTAATAACTCAGATCGTAATGACAGTTGTTAGAATTGCCCGCAGTTAGACAGTGTCCATTTTGTGCGTTCATTGTGAATCCATGACAGTTGACAGTTGAAACTGGGGTTTTCAAAGACAATAAATCTTGTTGCAAGACAGCAGGAGGAGACAGAATTTTTGTGTGTGTGAGTGTCAGTGTCAGTTAATCGGTGGGAAAATTTCAAATGGAAATTTGAAGCAAATAGAAATTTGAAGCAAAGGAGACGCTTGTGGTTTCCAAAGGATGAATCTTTCTATGGTTACTTTCTTTGGTTAGCTATCCTTTCAGGATAGTCAGAAATAACTTTGGATATCCTTTTGGAGATACTCTGAATTTGCCTCTAGCACCATCATTA